GCTAAAAACGCAAAGGCTCATGGGTAGATGCTTGTTTGTAAACATTGACACGCTATGGCCATCTGACGCATGCGCAGGTGACGACTCTCCCCGCTTTAATGCTAAACGTACGAGTTTGCAGTTATTGAAACTGGTATAAGCTGTCATATAACACATATACACGAGATGTTTTCAAATAATGTGAATTATCGAATGCTACACGACTAAAATAGTACCGTTGTAGTGTATGTCTCCAGTCCGTGTCTGTCAATCAAGTATAACACAGTATTCTTATTAATTGTATACACGCCTCTGTTACAGGTGTCGCGGTAATTATACAAACTGTGATCCAGACAGAGTAGCAGCTATGAAACGGTCAGCAATTAGTGTATCGGAGGATTTCCACACGTTAATGTCAAAGAGAAATATATCAGCTTTGTATATGGCTCTTCCAAATTATGCAATGGTAAATATATACACACTGAGAAGGTATCTAGGCAGCGGTCGCTAATTCGAATCACAGTCTGGTACTTTCTTTTTTATATCATTAAATTTACCTAAATTACATGGCTCTGCTGAGTTTTGATTTTCGAGGCTGATTCGTACACACACACACACACAGACTGCCAATTGAATATAAAAAGGTGACTAGCCTTTAAACACGCATATCAGACACCTGTGAGCTTTAATTGGGTGTACCTAGCTATAAGATACCTGTGAGTTTTCATTAGGTGTAATTAAATATCAAACGTATGCGATCACATCGATATCGGTCCCTGCCACACCGCAGGGACGTACACATCGTCGGAAAACTTCATTGTCATTCAATGCGACCTCATTAGGAAGCTTAAGCACGCTGCTAATCAGACTGTAGCGTTTGTTTATGAAAAATCATGTACATATCTAATTCTCTTTTTTTAATTTAATTTAATGAAAACAGCATTATAAACAAATATTTCAAAAGAAGATTCCCAATGTAGTCACAGCAGAAGATATAGCGGCATTACCATCCATAGCACCAGTGAAAGACGATAACTACGTGATGTCTTTGGTAGAACAAGAACTGTGCATACGTAAGTTACAAGCATTTATCATATTAAAAGTATCGGTTTTATTGCTCATAAATAATGATATACAATAATAAACAAAATTTCTGGCTGTGTTAAATAAGTATAAGGAATAAAAAAACATGTCTTCATATATGCATAATTAGTAATCCATAAATGTAATAATTTGTAAAGTAAATAACTGGGCGCGGAAATACGTACATAATGAGGTCAACATGGTAAAGGTCACACGGCGGCACGTGAAATTCGAGTTTGTCGTAGTCGTCGTTCTAGTCGTAGAATTAAAAAAAAAATCGGCTGCTACAATCAGCCGACGTCTTCTTGGTCAGAGGTTAGCTGAAGAGACGTTGTGATTGGCTTAGATGATTGTCAATTAGAACACTAATTAACATAATTACCCGTTAACAAATGGACGGGTTCCTGCAGTGTCGATAGAGAGCCATGCAAAATAAACCAGTCGGGGGAATTTCGCAGTTACAGGGGATTTCGCGCTAACACCTCCATTTCGCGAAATTTGTTATTTTATTTAAACTACAAAAACAAATTAATCGCCCGACTGCGCCAGTCTACTTTCAGCGTTGTACCATACCATAACGCCTTTGTCAAATTCGCGCCCAGACAGTCTGAATGACGTCATTATCTATACTAGATATTGAATATTTTCGAGATGATTTCCCCGTTTGTTCGGCCGAATTAGCTCTTTATTGCAAACACACATTATTCTTATGTATTATCCAAAGATCTCTAAAAATAAATGAATCATTTGCACTTACATGTAATAAGAAACATCTGCCTCTCGCATTACCCACATTCCTTAAATTATTCACATGCTTTGAGGTTTAAAAGCTGATATTGACACATTATCCTCAAATGTCATTTTAATTATATTGCATGTATTCTTTTTTTTTTTCTCAAGGAGCCGAGTTATTTATTGGATGGGTGTATTCATATTGGTCCCAAATGGTTATTATGCAAAGAGACCTTTACTCAAAAGAGTCATTGGGTATTTCAAAATTACCTGGATGGGATACTGAAGGTTTTCATTTGGTGAAGCGAAAATAAAGGAAGTGTTTGAAATATCACAGTAACAAGGTGATAATGGTATGACACGCATTTGAGAAAGGAATTTCAATATATGTTACCTCCTGCAGTATGAGTACATACTGGGCTATAAACAACGAAACTAAGTTTTATCAATCTAATATTCTATTAAGTTAGTCATATGTTACGTAATACCCCTAAAATAACATGTGCGTTAATATTCCAGTGCTTGATTTAGTTAATACTTTGTTCGAAAAAAGAATTTCAAATACAGGGGAGAGCTGAATATGTCATTTTCATATAATCACGAATACATTAACTTCTAATGTATGAAATTAATTTACTGTGATATTGCAAAATATTTTTATTAATAGAATAATTAATCGCTGCTGATGAAATATGTTATTCTCCAATAATATTACCTAATTTGGTTATATAACATTGTCTCGCATATGATAAAATGGTGCTAGAAAAAAAAGTACAGGAATTAAAGTTATTTTAAGTGGTCCGATTGCATGCGTCATTTTTGTGGTGAAATGTACGTTACCCCACAAATCTAATGTTAACAAATAACATGCATACCGCATGTATTTAGATTTATAAAGTAATCACGTGCATAAATCTGCAAAAAAAAAAATATCGCTACACATTTTGTTAGCTATTTGGCGCAATGTATGTTGAACGTCACTGAAATGAATGTTACTGTATTAGCGACTCGGAGAAAACAAAAAATAACTTGTTTTAAGCTTACTACGGATTGTCTGTTTTCTGTTATTTGACAATTGCAACTACATAAAGCCATTATATTGTCGAAACCAATCCTAATATCGCTAGTTTGATTTTGAGCTTGGTAAAACAAGTTGCAAGTTACTTAATTTAACCTGTTGCTCTACTAGTACATGCTGGTTTATATGCCGTGCTTATAAGAGTGGTAATTGTACAATGCAGTAAGTTGGTATAAAACCGTTATGTGTGCATGTCTTCAGGAGATGCACTTGATTGATTATATCCCACTAGAGTTTCTGTTCAATTTGAATACATTTCTGCAGGATTTTAGAGGTTGACCAGATACAC